TGAAATGTTGAAATAACATAATTGTACCCATAATAACAAATACAGTCAGGGTACCTTTGGTAATGTGCTGAGATCTTGGAGACTGTTGCTTATTTGACTCATTTTCCTTACAGCAATTGTGTTAGGGAATTAAATATAAAAACTTTGATTTCATATTTTCTGTTGGTCCTCAGCAAGGGTGATTTTGCCCCCTACAGGGGCCGTTTGGTAATGTCTGGAAACATTTTTGGTTGTCACAGCTGGAGTGGTCCTACTAGCATCTAGTGGGTGAAGGCCAGGGATGTTGCTAAATATCCAGTGCTCAGGATAGCTCCCCCCAAACAAAAAATTATTTGGCCCTAAATGTGAATAGTGCCCTCGCTGAGAAGCAATGAATTCTATTGTAACAACTCATGAAGTTTATTATTCCCTTTTGGCTCTCTCTATTAGCTAACTGACAAGATACCCAGAATTACTTTCTATTTAATGGAGGAGTGGTAGAAAAGTCCTATCATTCTAGAGGGCTACTGGGTCTCATTTTGAACTGCAACCTGAACCTAGTTAGTGGTGCCAAAAGTTGGGAGTTTTGGTAGCTCATGTTCCTAGTAAGCAGGGTTCCTTTTTTTAGTGTGTATTGTTTCCCAGCTTTGAAATGTTAATGAAATTTGAGACAGATTTTACATTTAGAGAATTATGTGATGGGCAGATTTACCACCAGAGCAAAATATTTTTGTTTTGAGCCACTCTTCTAAGTGCTCCTTTGTGTAAAATATTTTTATTTGGAGAATTGATTTTTGAGGACCTTAGTAATGGCTCATCCATTTTGTTGAATTTCCATTTTGGGCTCGGGTAGGGAGGTGTGTAATCATCATCATCGACAGGTAGTAGAGTGCCCTCTTGATGCCTGGTATTGTACAAAATACTTGAAAAGAAAGAACATTCAGAAGATTATCCCAAAATAGATTTCTCCTGTACTGAGTTTGAGCTAAGGCAGTGGTTTTCAAATTTGTTAGGAGTCTGAGCACCAGGAAGTCATGGTGCTCTTGATAAATTAATTTTATCATGTGGACTCTGAAATAGCACAAATCTTTTTTAAGGCTTTTGCTTGGAAACATTCATCTTAATTAAATTTACATGCAATCATTATATCGGGATTGTGTTTAACTGCATTTATCAGTGACCTTGGCCATAGTGGCTTATATGATAAGGACTTTTAAAAAATGTGTTCATTTATTTATTTCCTATAACATTAAGTCTGGAGGGATGAAATCCACGATAGGTATGGTGATTCCATGATTCTTCTTTCTACTCCCTTGCTCCCATCTTTCTCTTTACCATGTTTAGCTTGTGGCTTTCGTCTTTATGCATGTAAGGCTGCTCCAACCTTAGGCAGTCAGGAAAAAGAATGGGAGAATGAAGGAAGAAGGGATAGTGCCTATACATCAACATATGCCTATATATGAAGTTCATATATGTATGAGTGCATATCATATGTATGTGTATATGTATGCATATGCGAGTATGTGTATATACATACACACACAACATAAACACACATATATTTTCATATATATAGCTAGCAAGAGGCTGAGAAATACAGGGTATTTAGCTGGGTCCCTGTTTCCCTGAACAAAATTGGGGTTCCCTTACTGAGTAAAAAGGAGAGAATAGATCCAAGGTAGGTAACTAGCAGTGACTACTAAAATTACAAAACAATTTAAAAAGTACATTTATGAGCTTGTGACATTCATGACCTTGCATTCTTTTAAAATGCTATTGGGATTTTTTTACTGATATTCTTTATTTTTTGTACATTAGTTTTGTTGATAGCCAGAAAGGAAGTAATCTCAAATATTGAAGGTTTAAATGAAAAAACTTTAAAATGAAAATTTTTTTCTATTGACTTTTTTTTCCCCTTTGCAAATGAGAAAATTATTTGATTTTAATGAAAATATACTTTAGTATACCAGTTTTCTTAAGGAACATGGTTTGGGAACCACTGATATTAATACCGTTTGTTTGTACTATTAAATTACTTTGTCTCTACTTTCACTTACATTGTTTTCCTAGATAAAAACATTCTCTTTTCTGTCTTTTAATATTACTCACATGTTGTGGGCAGTTAACACGTTGTTTATTTTTAAATATCTTTTCTAAATTCTCCATGATCCTGTTAGTTTTACCATCAGAAAAAAAAAGCCTTATTAGTTTTTCAAGGTCAATGCAAGTGTTGCCTTTTCTGACACGTTGTTTATTTTTAAATATCTTTTCTAAATTCTCCATGATCCTGTTAGTTTTACGATCAGAAAAAAAAAGCCTTATTAGTTTTTCAAGGTCAATGCAAGTGTTGCCTTTTCTGACACTGAACCTTATGCTCCACATCCATTTTTATCCCCTAATTCTTGGAACTCCTACAGCAATCATAACCTGTATAACACATTTATCCCCTTAATTATAGACTTTGTTGAATTTGTCACTAATCGTTCCATTCGTTAGCAATATCATAAGCTCCTTGTTACATATTTTTGTGTGTCCCAAATACCATAGTATTAAGTACATAGTAGATTAATAATTGCTTTCTGATCAACTAAATAATCACATTTAACACATTAACACACATGAAAATAACATTGATTTGATAGCAAGATAGGCATAAAATAAAATATTACTAATAACCAGCGTAATCAGAATTTCATAACTTTTACCCTTACCTATTAATATAGGACCTCTAATTCTCTCATAAATGCCTCTTTCCTAGTTTATTCTTTGAGTCACCAAAGGGTGTTTCGTGTGGGCTTGCTAATGTATTCTGGCCACTGCCACATGGCACCTGTCTTTTCCTTTCTGTGATGTTCGCTGCCCCTGCAACTGTAAATCGGTACCTCCTACCAGATATCAGAGGTGTACCTCCTTGCCTGATATGACTGTCTCCTTGACTTTGTGCTGTCCTGCCAGGTGTGCTGCTGATATGCCCTGTTTAACCCCTTCTATTATATATTGTCATGTAGGCATCAAAGTGGAGCTCTTTGTATCTTGTTGCTTCAGAGTTTTTAGTGAAAGCCATTCTTTAGTTTCTTGCTGTAGCCCCATGTCTCTGTTGTGATGAGCTCTTGGGGCTGGGCTGGTTGAACAGAATAAGTGCTAGGCACCACACACTGTGCTTGGAATCACTCTTCCTGTTTAGGGCTTTGTTTATTGGCCCCTAAACTTGGTTAAGCCTGCAGTTCAGCAACTGTATTATACATTCTTATACTCTTTTCCAGGGTACTTCTTTATTAATATCTAGTTATCTTCCTTGGGTCTGAAGATGTATATTTGACAGTAATTGGAACTGGACCTTGTGAAAGTTTCTAGCAGGAGTTAGTTAAATAGTGGGGAAGAAACATACCTAGAATTGAGCCTCAAGAGTTAAAGCAAATGATCAAGGGGTAAAGGGAGGAGCAACCAAAAATTTGGAGATGAGGAAAACCCAAGACATAAAGCCTCCACAGCCAGGGTGAGAAGGAATTAAAAAATGATCTTCTGTACCTGGAATAGTTTGTGAAACAGTGGGAATAACAAAACAGTTATATTAGTTTCCTCTTGTTCTAAGTTTCCGTTCATGTTTTTTGTTTTTGCATATGCTTGAACTTTAGAGTAATCCAGTTCTGTGCACCTGAGATTCATTTAAGGAAAAGAAAAAATTTTTGTAACTCAAGATTACCTAGATATATGCTTATCCTAGTATAGCGTTTGGTTCACAGTGGTTACTCCAATAAATACCACTGACTATCAACTCCTTGGGTATTCAGGTACTTCACTTCCAGCTCTGTGGAGGTTCACCTAGGAGTGCGATGCCCAAGACACCTTTGCACAGCAGTGAGAACAAATGGGGCAAAGAGAGACAATGAAATGTCACTAGGACAGTTATCACTAGACATAGAACCTCTTTGACTTCATCTACTGAATCCTGCTTTGAAATCTAGAAATAGGAAGCAACTGGGGATGGGGTATTACTGGAGAAGTGCTCCCTGAGATCTGTTTGCCAAGACCTCATCATGATCTAGGGATGCAGGGAGACCTTGTGTTCTTTCCAGAGTTTGTCAGCTATTGAGCAGCAGAATCAGAAGTTAATGTAGGTCTCTCTGCTCCAAGACTCATGTCTTCACCACTACGCTGGGATGGTTTTTTCAAGCATTCATTTGTTTATTGTTTTCTTAAGTGCATTTGTCATTGTAGCACTCATTCCCAATAGAGAGGATATGAAGATTGCATTGCAGTGATTTTCACCCAATTCCATGTGATTGGCAGCTTTACTAAGTGCTAACCTTGAAGCAGTGCACTTGATTTATAAGAAAGCTAAATTTGATGCTTCCAAAGCAAGACTGACAATCTTGGAGCAGGAACAAAATGACCACCGAATGCTGGGTGTTGATTGACTCTGCTTCCTGTGGTAGAGTCAAGCAAGTTAAATCAGTCCATTAAAAGTTTTAAGTCCAGTAAGATTTTGAATCTCTTTAATTCTGTGTACACAATATGTATCACGAAATTCAAATTCACCATTTTTTTTCAGTTACAGTAGTTTGTGTAAGAGTAATCACTCAAAATTTATTTTGAGTACCAAAAGCATTAAGATTACTTATAGTATTCTTATTTCTTAGCCGTAAAAGTAATTTACTTATTAGAAAAATTTTAAATGTTAAGTAAGAAATAGTAAGATTATTATCTCAAGATCTTGGCAGGCCAAAATAGAAAAATTTCATAGATTAATCTTTGAAAATTATGTTAAATCCTGAAATTTGAGTTTTATTTTGGTTTGGGTTACTTTTGGAATTTTATTATGCAAGATTGTCTTTGGGGGATACTGTATTGAACATTGTGTGTCCTGTGGAACTTCTTTTTGTGTATTATGTCTTATTACTAAACTTGTGAATGGGATACCAACATATTTTAAGGATTTTTTTTCTTTTATTTGTATGTGAACATTTGGATACAAAAATCCCAATATACATATATATATAACAATTTTTCCTCTTTTGCAGAATTAAATGTGAGGGAGTCTGATGTAAGAGTTTGTGATGAATCATCCTGTAAATATGGAGGAGTCTGTAAAGAAGATGGAGATGGTTTGAAATGTGCATGCCAGTTTCAGGTGAGAACACCAAACCTATTTTGAAAAATTTTATATGTTTCATATTTTATAATTCTCTATTCTTCAAATTAAAAAACTTAAAACACCTTGAGTCCCACGGGGAAGTTGGGTTCATAGCCCACCAATTCTTTTTTTGTCAGATAAAGCCCTATTATTTGTACCTTCCATGCTTCTTGCTTGGAATTAAGAGGACAGATTGGCAATAGTAGATGTGAAAATGCTTCAAAAAATATTAAAATTCCATCTAAATGTAAGTTTTAATAGTCACTGAAAGGAAGGAAGATACAGGTTGCAGTAGAGTCTCTTATTTAAAATGATAGTGCTTTTTCCTTTTCTTCTCCTTTCTAGTTTGTCTTTGTCCCTTCCGTTCTTATTTGTTGCTGTCTCATTTCTTTAGGCCAAAGAACTTGACTGACTTGAAGCCTCAGGGTAAGTCAAGGTTAGAGATGGATTAGAAAGGGGAACCTCCAACTAAAAGTGTGAATATCTTTGCTTTTCAAATTCTCTTTTCATTGTGATTCTATTGTCTAAAAAAGTAAAAGAAGGGAAGTGAAGTATGTTACATTTGGTTCTACTCTTTTGTTTATTTTCTGTGATTATAATCTGGTTTTAGAATGTTTCTCACAAGATAATCCCTGGTTCAGTATTTGAAGTGAGAGAAAGAAGGAACCAGAATATTTTTCACTAGTGATCTTGTTCTAAACGTATCCACCATTTTGGATTTTGAGAAGATGAATGGGTACAGAAATCGGTAATAAATGTATAGGAGAGTTAGGATTTCTCATAGCGCTATGACTTAAAGCAAATTTCTGTATGATCTCAGATAATTTTCTCTGCATCAGTGTTCCATCTGAAATGAGAAGGCACATTTTTTACTCTTTCTTATGATATTGTAATGAGAATCAAAATTGGAAAGCGAGTTTGCATATAAAATTTCTTTAAAAACTATAAACCATGATGTTGTTTATTTTCATTGAGAAGAAGTGGAGAACTTAAGTGAAGGAGGAAGGGTAGGTGGGAATACTATTGTCTAACCAGACATTTTCTTTATGGTCAAAAGGAACTTTACATTTGATGACATAGAGTGATGGGAGGGGTTCTCTGGGGCATTTTTACAATAACCACCTTCTTCCAAGCCTACTTAGGTAGCATTTGTTGGACTTCAGATCCCTGTTGTCTGGAGACATTGGTTCTTTGCCACGAGTGCTTCTTGCAGCATGGAAGGTGGCTTTACCCAGAATGAGATAAAAAGTTGGTGATAATGCAAACTTTATTCTTTCCACCCAGTGAGTTTTTAATTTCAGATTTTTTATTTCTAGAATTTATAGTTTCTTTTTATCTGCTGAGATTTCCTGTCTTTTCATTACAAGCATATTTTCCTTGAACCTAGATATTATTGCTGCTTTAAAATCTTTCTCTGCTAATGCTGATATCTAGAATATCTCAGGTATCATCCCCATTGATTGTTTTTTTCATTTGAGAATGGATATGTTTTTCTGTTTCTTTGTGTTAGAGTAATTTTGATTTTACCCTGCACGTTGTAAGTGATATAGAATGCCGAATTCTGGGCCAGCCCCAGGGCTCACTCAGTAGAGTGCAGCGCTGGTAGCACCGAGACTGCAGGTTTGGATCCTATATAGGGATGGCCAGAACGCTCACTGGCTGAGCATGGTGCAGACAACACCGAGCCCAGGGTTGTGATCTCCTTACCGGTCAAAAAAAAAGAATGTCGAATTCTGTTATGTTTCTTTGAGGAGTATTGTTACTTTTGAAACAGTTAAATTGGCTGAACTCAAACTGCAGACTGTCTTCTCTGAGGTCGGCAGCAACACAAATAATAGTTTCTCTTAGCCTTAGTGGGGCTCCTTGGAGTCTGCCCTATATGTGGTTTGGGAGTCAGCCAGAAATTTGCTGAGTTTATATGCAGAATCTGGACTCCCCTCTGACTCTCTCCTTTCTGCCTATGGTTGCCTGGAACTCTTTCCTCTGGTTCATCAAATGAGAAAGACTGCAGGGTTTTTCTGTAGGATATTTAGCCATTCTGTGTGGAGGAGACTGGGGATGTTCCCCTCTTCCCACTGTCTTAAGCATTTCCTTAGTTTAAATTCTTTGTTATGGAATTGTTGGGCCAATGGGATACTTGTGTGTGGATCAACATTCTCACCAATAGCAGTTTATCAGACTTCCTGTTTCCCCTCAGCCTTTTGGTAGTATATTTAGGCAATCCTTTTAAATTTTGTAAATTTGAAAATTATTTGCATTTGATTTCTAGAGAAATTGAAAATGTGCCATATGTTTATTGACCATTTTTTAAAATTAATATTTTATATTCTTTGCCCATTTTTGGAAGCATTTTCTTTTTCCTTATGTTGATTTGTAAAGGCATATGTATATGTATGTGTATGTACATGTATTCACAGAATACAATATTTAAGTATTTATTTATTTCTTAGTATGCTGATTATCTTATATCCATTCACTGATAAACCGTCATGAGAATCTACTATTTTGATATGTTTTTTTAAAAGGGTAATATGAGGGTGCTTCAAAAGCTCATGGGAAAATAGAATTAAAAGATAATACGAATCTTTCCATGAACTTTTTGAAGACCCCCCATATATGCTCATAATAAATAACTTGAACAATATAATAGTTGATATATATTAAAAAAAAGTCTTCCTTTCACTCAAGGCTATCAGTTGTTCTTCTCAGAGGCAACATCTGTTGCTTCTCATATTTCCTTCTAGAAATATTGTGTGTGTAAACAAGCATATATGTGTTATAATTCCTCTTTTAAGTTCATAAATCACTGAATAGTATTTACCTTAGAGATTGTTCCTCCTTTTCAGTTTATGTAGTTTACAAAAAAAGAATTTTGTATTTTTAAGAAGTTGTCCTAGTTTCATTTCTTTATTTATTTTTAATTGGCAAGTAACAATTGTGTATCCTAGTTTCATTCTTATTTTTATTTTGTTTATATTTTTTGACATAAAGAATTTTTAAATTTTCACATCATATTTACCTGTCCTTTATCGTTCTGCTTTTCTTTATTCTTTGAAAGTCTTCCTGTAAAACTTGAAAGAAGTAGCCTTTTTGACCTTTTAAAAATACTTAAGCAGCTATAAAATCCTCTCATGATCTGTTTGAATCCCTTGCATTCTTACCTTGTGGCAAAGCAGGAAAAGAAAATATGTTGGGACTTGAGATCAGTAGATGTTTATCCAGTGCTTAGTCTGTGCTAGGTACTAGTTTAGATGCAGAGGGTGTAAAGATGTTTCAAGACAGGTTCCTTGCCTTGTAGGAGCAAACTGCCTAAGGGCTTATGGCATAGTTTGATCTTATTGATAAACAAACCTTCCTTTGACTACTCTGCCTTCCTATAAGCTTATAAATCTGTTCAGGTTAGACTCAGGTTATTACCAGCTTAAAACAATCACCTGATATGCCCATTAAACACTTCTCGCTGGATGATTTAGCAGTATTTTTCAATTCATTTAAAAAACTTGATTATGATTTGGCATGCTTTCAGTGCTCATATAAACTTTCTGGGACATAACTTAAATACATTTTAACATGTAACAGGATTTGAAATTAAAGCCTAAAAATTTTTTTTTTCAGTCTGCTAACAAGAGCTGTTATCTTGCCACATATATAAACAAAGCCACTTTTATTAATTTTGTACAAAGAAAAATGAGCAATGGTGCATCTTTCCTTTAAAACTTTATGTAGAATAGTGCCTATGACTTTTTCCCTGATACTTTTCATAATGTTTTTCCTCCCTTTTTGTTCTTCTATTTGGAGTTCTCTGGACTATGTGTCTTTCTTCCTTAATGTATCAGTGTCTGCTCTTGCTAGGTGCCACGCTGTCTTATCAGACCTTTGTATTAGAGAAACAGAGCTAATAGGAAATATATATGTATGTATGTGCACACACACAAATGTATTTGTGTGTGTGTGAGAGAAAGAGATTTGTTATAAGGAATTGGTTCATTTAGTTATGGAGGCTGAGAAGTCCCACGGTCCATCATCGGTAAGCTGGAGGCCCAGGAAAGTCAGTTGGTGTAGGTCCCGGTCTCAGAGCCAGGAGAGTACCACCTCAAGCAGGTAGGCAGAGAGAGAATTCTTTTTTCCTCTTTCTGTTCTGTTCAGGTCCTCAGTGGATTGGATAATGCCCACCCACATTGGGGAAGGCAATCTGCTTTACTTGGTCCACTGATTCGAATGCTAATCTCATCCAGAAACATCCTCACAAATACACCCGGAAATGTTTAGTCTGGGCACCCTGGAGCCCAGCCACATTGACACATAAAGTTAACCATCACAACCTTCTAATTATTTTCTTATTTATTGTATTCAGCACAGTTCCTGATGCACAGTAGGTACACAATAAATTCCTGAATAGATATAGCTCCAGAGTTATACAATGCTGCATTTTTCTAAACTACTTAAAATAGCTGGCAGTGTCATCAAGTTCACCAGACTAAAGAAAAGGTATAGGGGAGAATTCTTTTTCCCAGCAAGGGAGGCAATACAGAGGTGGTAGACCTTAGGTTAGAGTTAGGTTCCAACATAGTGCATAAGTCAGAAACTACATGTTGTTACAATTGTTCAAATCCCTTAATTTGTCCCTAAGCATAATGAGAGGCTTTCAAGAGAGAACCCTGGAAACTGAGAATGACCAAGGATCAGCAGGCCTTGTTCTCCCGTCTCATGCTCAGTCCTAGATATGTGTTTGTGAGGTTGAATTTCAGGGACATCAAGTCCCCTACTCACTATCATGAAGTGACATATGGTGAGACCCTGCTGAATAACTTGAGTGTGTAGTGAGTGGTTCAGGTACATTACTTGTGAAGAATTGTGGCTCCTCCACTTATTAGCTGTGACCCTGGGAAAATACTTCAGACTCAGAAATGATAATAGCAATTGCAAAGGTAACTAATGTTTATGAGAATTTACCATGGCCAGATATAAATGCTGAAGGTGTATTTCTCTTATTTGAT